CTCTGACATGGATGTCCTACACTTTCAAAAAATGCCTTTAAATATAATGTAGTTATATGTGCTGTATATGAAATTTAATGTAACCTTATACATTAAAAAGAGATTAATATATTTGCAAATTAAATGTAAAAGATGAAATTAGTGTACATTTAATGTAAAGATTATCCCGTTTCCCCTGGCTCTCATCATTTATATCGTATATTCATAATCACTAGTCCAACAAGATCATTCATCCATTCATTCAATCATTCCAGATATGAACATACAGCTATGACTCTATCATAGTAATATACAGGTGTGCATTAAATTTAATGTTGAGCTCATGATAATTAAGTTCATATATTTTACATTAAAGTAATGAGGAAAATTCTGACATTGTAGTGTTTGGGTTATAGGACAAATGAACTTATCAGTTGACGCGCCCGGAATCACTAACAACCAATTACAAAGCAGGAGTGCTTCGGTTTCTGGCTCGTTAAGTTCGACATATTTCTATTGTGCGAACGCTGTCACTGAGATCTCTTTCTGCTCTCATTCATTTTTTGTTACGCACATCGCAGTTGTGTTTTTTTGTGTACCTTATCATACGGGCGAAAATGTTCCAAAATATGCTGTTACAACTCTAGTAATATTAAGTACATATATGTAACCACATTTCTGGTCTACTCACATTTAGAACTTTTGCACTAATTTGTAAATTCTATTTCTTCAGACAATTAGCATGAAGGTTGAAGATGAAGGCAATTAAATGACACACACACTGTAGGGCAACAATTGCATACCACGAGGTTTGTCATCAGAAAAAACATTGTTGCCATGATTGTGAAATAGAGGTAATGCACAGTATATTTATAACGAATTTTATTTTGAATATGTTTATATTTGAGAATTTTGCTATTAATACTATTTTAGATGAGACTGTTTTTCACTATCACGATTTGCGGTAGGTGATTACTTATTATATTTATAACTTGTGAAAAGTTATTAGAACTTATGATTTGGATGCCAGGAGTGAGCACCAGTCAAACCTGGAGGAGATACAAATTATAAAGTTAAATACTTAACTTTGACTTCTATTTCGGCCCGGATCTCACGTTTCTGTGGTGGAGGACCACCACTATCACCTCTTCGACTATAATACGCATGACACTTCCAGGACTAACGACCTAAGTAGTTGATGTTCCCCGAAACACTCACATACACCAATCTACTTCGCCGCTACTCAAGAACAGTTCCATCAATTGACTATTTTTTGTTTGTTTCCATGCGCGTGAACAGTACTGGCCATGAGTTTCATCAGTGTGTTGCATGTTATATCTCGCTGGTGGAGTTCCTTCCCCGCTAGAAAGTGAGATTCGACACCAACCTACTCGTCTACTTGTGTAGTGTTTCCCTCTTCAGGTATCTCCGCCATCCGTAGCATCCGTGACACGCGTCAAGTTAAGCCTTCCCAACGTGTGTGGCAGGGTAGTGCACGGAATTCCCGTTTGTTAGAGAGTGCTCTGGCATACGCCAAGCATTGATGGGAAAAACCACGTTCAAATATCGATCGGAGCAGCTGTCCGCTAGAATTCTCCTCCAGACAGCGGCGGAATTTGACCTAGCTGTCTAGTTGTCTAGTGCCGAAAATCCTGCCTCCACCGTTGGGACAAGGACTTTCCACTGTAATGGCAACAGTTGTTCTCCCGAGCTCGTGGCGAATCCACGGGGGGGGGGGCATAACCCCCATGCACTTCCCTCCAGTGGATCCGCAACTGACTCAGGAGAACAACTAGGCTAGAGGGATCCGAAAAGCCTAGAGTTTTCCTTTGTTACCTCCGTTTACTTGGCAAAATTTGTTTAAATATTGATTTGTTAGAATTATGTGATTATTTAAAAATGTAATATTGCATCCGTATAGTATTCTATATACACTACAATAATAATATACAACATAATAACAAATGTTTATTATTTAGCAAAAATATATACGACGGCCCCCTCCAAAACGATCGACGGCTGCATCCGCTCGCGTCCTAAGCCAACTTGCCCGGTAGCAATTCCATCAAACTAATGGCGCTGGCACCAACAGCGCCACCAGCGTCGCGCCCAGCGCCGGCGGCGGCACCGCCCGCTGATTGTCTTAAAGCGGGATCCGTGTCGTGCGGATCGCGGGGCGGTTCCAGCTGCCCCTCCCCCCCCCCCGCCCGCCTAGCAGGTTGAGGAGTGAAGGCCCCCAATAGAATCGGAACCAAGGCCAACCGGCTGACGGAAGTGACATATCTTCTACGAAAAAAGCACTTGTCTTGATGGATGAATCTGCACCGCATTAGTGCTGTAATGGGACTACCAACTCGGTTAGGTCCGGTAGGCAGCAGGTAAATGACTGAGTAATACGTTTGGATAATCTGCATGATTTGCGTGTAATGTAAGGTGATGCGGGTGCTTCTTTACTAGTACATCTACATGGTTTTGTAAATCTTTCACTCGGTTGTTAAAAGCTGAGCCTGAACAGAGGAGAAGAATGTGGAGACGTAAAACTGTGGATTGTCATTTAGACCAAATGAATATTAAAAAACGCATTATTATTTATTTTCACTACTTAACCCTGCGATGAACAACCTTCACTACAAAGTTTGTTCATCCAACTATTATAGAATAAAATAATATTCCTATGTGTTTTATAAAACATTAACTATTATTCATGTTCCTTTAATTCATTAGTATTTGTTGTCAAGAAGAACCTATGTGTTTGACCTATTTAAAAGGTTTTTTAAAAAGCAGGAAAGTTAAATGAATTGAACACAGTCAGCGTTTCTATTTTCATATTATGCCATTGGGAGTCAAAAGATTCATTAGTATATTTCTTCGCCGTAAGATAAATAAATCTCGAATGCATTCACCGACCGCAAATTGGGGCAGCAAGAAACCTCAAAATAAACGTATACAATTTGAGGCTGCGGTTACGGAGCGCATGTTGTGACATAATGTCCGCGTAAACGTTGACAAATGTCCCTCAATCTCGTCTTCGCGATTGCAACCACTGGAGTCCGCACGTAGGTGGGTGTGTTGCCAAAGAACGCGGCGTTTACCAACCCGCGCACCCCAGGCGGATGACTGACAGTTGACAGGCCTTTAGAAACTTTCAAAAGCGCTCCTCGCGCTAAATACGACACGACGGACGATCGTGCGGCGATACCGCGTCGTGGAAAGCGGCCATTCAGATTCAAACGTTACGTTACACATCGAGTCGCGGTGGTATTCTCGTGTTTCGCCGCGGCCTGCGCTCGTGGCTCAATGTCTTCGGACAGCTGTTGATGCTGTCGGAGGAAATGACCGAATCCGTCCTCTCGCCGGACGGCGTGGGCGTAAATGCGGGGTGAGACGGCGTCGTATCGCGTCTGGCCATCGGGCGCGCTCTGCGCATGCGCCGAGGTTTCGCGAGCGACGCGTTCGCATGCGCGGGCGGACCTGTTGAAGCCGTACGAGAAGTCGGATAACGGAATATGGGTACGCTGTACGAAACTGTGTGCGACGGATGGAAGATTGATCTCAGCCCTCTTCAATAGAGACTTGAAACAATGGAGTACGTTGTAATAGTTTTTATTTTTGCAGTACGGCGCGTTTCACTTGTTTACGATGCATAAAGAAATCACCATTTTAAGTTGTCCAGAACAGAATCAACAGTTTCACTGTTTATGGTTTAGTATTATTTGTTTGCTTGCTCAATTTCCTATCTAGAATTATGTCACAGTTACTTCGACTTATTGGTTACAATTGGGTAAATATTTGTTTACTTGTAAAATATGTTGAAACAGTCCCTTTATATGCAATGAGGTAAGGAAAAATGATGGATTTATGCCACAAACTAACGATATAAAAAATCATGTGTTTTGAAGCTATATGGCGGGAATTAAACCCATTTCTGCATCAACATATTTTGACGAAAAAATGAAGCGTTGCAGAATACGATGAGGGGGATGAAAGGTGCATACAAAACACACAACCCACATACAATGCGATTTGCATTGCATCTCTCTGGGATTACGCGTACATTTGATTCGTCCTGAGATTATGAGTACTGCGATGATTGCATAATTTTGAAACAATGCTCCCAAGAACTTTAAAACTATTTTTTCGTCTCCCTACAAGATTGTTCGTTATGTTTCTTTTGCAGTGATCTACGAAATGAGGATCTGCAAATCAACCTTCGGAAGGTACCCTCCACTCTGTAGCACGAGGGCATGGTCAGAAACGTTCAAATTTTTCTTTTTGCTTTTATGATTTACAAAGCGCAAAATGTTTCCACTGGTTCAAATAGTAATTATTTATTAATAAAAATCGGGCTTAAGTACTTCTTTACGCACGAAGTTTGGTTTTATAGCATTATTTTTTTTCAGAAGTGGTGTCATAACTTAACGAAAAGGCATATAAATGTATCATTTAGAATTGTCAAATTCAAAACAAACGAAGAATTGGGAGAATGACATTTGGCGTTTTCAACCAATTTTTTGCATGTTTAGTGACTACTGTTTGATATATGTACCTAAATAATACGCTTATATTACATGAAATAGTTATTTAATGGGTTACCAGAATATTTGGCAATATTATGACTAGCACCGAATTTGGCAGCATCTGTTTTAGAGCCACGGCTATCTTCCTCACGAAGACGCGATATCTCCAAAGAGGCTGCATAAAAACTCACTCAAGGTGTTAATCGCCGGTTTCACGCGAGCGAGGCTGGCCTAATGAACGGTAGCACTGACCAGCGCGCGCTTATCGCTCCCTGGGTAATGGGGGGAAGTCCCGAGACGACGCCGCCGCCGCGGTCGAGATGCGATGTTGTGCTAATGGCGTGGCCATCGATAATTAATCGAACGATGCGCGAAGGGAACAGCCGGGCGAGCAGACGGTGACAGAGATGGCGAAGGCTTGGGGCGAGGTGGGGGCGAGGGCGGAACAGGAGGTACAGGCGGGAGGGGAGGAGATGGATGTGGCGATGAGGGCGGAGGAGGAGGATGGAGCAAGAGCAGAAAGATGATGGAGGCGATGCCGTTGGAGAAGGCAAGGGAGAAGAAGGTAGGAGGAAAAATAGAAAGAAGTTGAAGGCGAGGGTGGAGAAGATAAAGGTGAGGGTGAAGGAGAATGATGGCGGGGGTGGAGTAAATAATGAAAGAGGGGATAAAGGAGAAGATGGGGAGGGTGGAGGAGAATGTAAAGCTGAGGGTGGAGAAGAAGAAAAAAAAAGCAGAAGAAGAAGAAGAAGAAGGCGAGGTCGTTGAAAAGGTGGTAAAGAGGGCGGAAGCAAATATGCAGGCGCTGGCGGTATTTGCGAAAATTTCAGATTTGGTGAAAAATGACGGTAATGAGAAAAAAACAACAAAACCAGAATTAATGCAGAATGCTTGGTTGGTGCTGTAGATGGAATGGTCTTACTGCATTATAACACACTATATTATGTCTGAAGCATGTTAGCAAGTTTCAGCTATTTGTAACATCTTGACCTTACAATACGCTCTAGAGACAACCTTATATTTGAAGCTAGTCTCGTAACGCTAATTTTAATGAGAATTTTAACGCACTGGCTTGTATCGCTCTCTAACAAAATAGAACTGTTAAGCGCAAAAAGGAGACTTTACATACTATCACATTCATATTAGCAGTGTCAATGTATGATTAACATGTGATAACACTATATATTGGCCCGTAATGGATGCATTTGAAAATTTATCGCTGTACAAAATACGCGTTTTAAGGTATAGAAGCGGTAGTTTACAGCACTGATGTATCTCAAATGGAACTACATGATAGAACCATTCCAATCGTATTCATATTTTTCATTAACGTAAAATCTCACGCTTACTAGATCCGCTATCCAATTTGAACAGACTTGCAACAGGTTAACTTTATAGTCCCGCTCTATGAAGAGAAGCTTAAAGATGTATATTTCCCTTAATGCTTGTCGTTTGAGTTCTAATGTTAGCCAAGTGGCACGTATTGCATAATGTCAAGACGTTCCAACGTGGTACAAATATCCTATTAACGGCTTACTGGCACAGACAAGCTTATGCGGACTATCATGGTTTCAATCCACTTAAAATATCAATGTATAACTGCTTAGAGAAAATATCTTCTCTGAGTCATTTTAGATATGAAATGATTATACGTAAATACGAGATTGTTCGTGGCGGTTTTACAGCAACTGTGAACGGGGATAGAATTGATCTTACCTAATTTTCAGACTGATTATTTCGTGTTTCCGGGCGCTTCTATGTGCACTTTTGTATGAGATGCATGTTTGGGAGTGGTAGTGTTCATCCCCCGCTGAATGACGAGATCCGGCGCCCACCTAAATGTCGGCTTGTCGGGTATTTCCCACCTAGACATCTCTCATCAGCAGCGCACGGCCTCAGCCGGAACAAGCTGTAAGCTCCGTCATGTGTGGTAGTAATGTGTAAGTTTAAGCGTATAAATGTTAGCATACAAGTGTTAGCACAAGTCTAAGCATCTACGTGTTAGCAAAAGTGTAAGCACATACGTGTAAGCACATACGTGTAAGCACATACGTGTAAGCGCACACGTGTAAGGACATACGTGTAAGTAAGGAGTTGTGGTGAGGAATACGGGAGTAGGGAAAAGAATAAGCGGTGAGGATAGAACAAGGAAAACGAACGAAAAGATCGCGCGCGGTCCGTGGCCCGATTGTTTGGCTACTGCCCCTGCATTCACCTATTGGTCTGAGTAATTACAGAAAAGTATTTGAGTAAGCGCCGGCTGGAATTCTCCTGAAGCCAGAGGTTGACTTCGACGTAGCTAGCGTCGAAAATCTTACCGACGTCGGAACGCGAACCCTCCGACTCCCTCTCAGAGCCACCGCAGTGATAACAGTTGATGCCCTGAGGCACCTCAGCCTGTGATGTTACCTAAAAGAAACATGCAAACATACGTGTATTTGTGGTGGAAGGAAAGAAAACTGTCGGCATGGAGTGAAACAACGGGAATAATGGTTCAGGCAGTGGGAAAGTCGTAGCAGCAACGGTGACGATGGCGTACGCACTACGCAGCTGTGATGGAACAGTGACGGCGAAGCTGGGCGGAGAAGCGACCTTTTACGCCTATCGCGGCATCGGGCCAACGGAGGCGGCGGCGGCGGCGGCGGCGGCGGCAACAGCATGCGCGGGAGCCGCTCTTCTTTTGCTTGCGTTGCTCGTTTGTCGGCGGCGCGGCCCCCTGCTGGCTCTTCCGATGGATTCGGACTAGATTCGCGTGGAGAGCGATTGCTGCGCTCCTGGTGGATTTAGAAAGAGATTACGTTCCAGGCTTGCCGTAGGTGCTACCATTACTCAATACTAATTCAGGATCGAAGGACATCTTTTTTATACTTACTTGACTTGTAATAAGCTTAGCGGTCTGCAAAAATTCTTCCTTCTAAATGTTGATCTCGGTATAAAAAATCATTCTGGCAAGAGAATTTTATAACTTGATTCAATTTATCATTCAAGTTATTTACCACAATCAAAGTTCACTTAGGTAATTATCAATTTGACGTGGAAGAGCAGGTTTTAAACCTTAACGCCTTTCGCAAAATCATTTTTGTTCGCAAACATCATTTCGAGTATTACAATTTATATACAATTAAATAATTTCTTAAAATATGGCAATTTATTGAAAAAGTAAACGATTTCTTTACCTGCCGTTTTTACATTTGTTTGGAAGCATAAATGCTTTTAAGAACATGAAAAATTGGTCACGTAGACAATAAATATACTGCAAGATTTCTTTGTTTCTACTATTACAATTGTTTTACTTTGCTCATGAGCAATTCACACAGCATATGGCGATTGTTATTGAAACTATGTCCGTGAAGAAGAAAACAAAGTGTAATTTCTGTATTTAATAAGTCAGTTATATCGGAGTCGTATTCTTAAGTGTGATACAAAATAAACATGTATTATCGACAAAGAAAAGTATTTGTTTCAGGATGTAAGAAAAAATACACTCTAATGCTCTGGAAGATACTAATTTATGGAGAAAACCTATCATTTATAATTTATTAGAGGAAAGAGTTGTAAATCATAAATAATCAGTTGATTTTGCTACTGACACATGTGATACAAGATGTAATGTAGATTAGGTCTCTCAGTGTGACGTCTCGTAATTTCTTCTTCGAAAGGAAAGCGATATTCTTTGCTGATATGAAGTTTATTGATTCTCGCATCTGAGCTTCTCATTGTATTAGTGTGTTACCCATTGTGTGTAACATCGTAAGTGAATCGTAAAACGTTCCCTTCTTCAAAGCGACTGTTTACGAGGATTAGTTCAGAAAAGAAAGGTTGTTAGGGTGCAATTCTACACCATATGGACGTTCACTGTCATTTAATAATTTTCTTCCGACAATGAAAACTGTAGGAGTTGTCGAGTAAAATACTATCTTACTCGAAACATAATAGCTATAAATTTTGTCTCAAGAAGAATTATGTAATTCAGTGAAGGGATCAAATTAGACAACTCTCCCAATGATACCAACTAATTCAGTTTTGAATCCAAACTTTTCGAGAAAGACCGACCAAACAACGGTCTTAATGCCCACACATGCTGTTTTTCTTGGCTTCTTTGTAATTCATACTAAGAATATTCACGAATTTTGGTGAACTGAAATAAAATTATTTCAACAACGTTTCAGCTATTATTAAGCGTTCTCCGTGACAATATATATCATTACATTGTAAGTAGTTACCAAGAAGATCCACTGTTATTATCGATGTAACATCACTATAGAAAACGATGGTTCACACTACACAATATGTGTTGGGACTTTATTTTTTCATCCTAGCATACACTGTCCTCGCTCACTTGTAGAGACAATAATATATTAACATTAATAATATTAACAATAAAACTGTGCATTTTAACTCATAACGACCCCGTTATTTTTCTTGATAACAAAGACAACTTACAACCCATGGTTTATATTTTATATAATATTGCCAATATATACAATTTTAAAATTTCATTCAACAAAACCACAACAATGGCTCTCAAAGGCAAGTTCCCAGTTAGAATTAATTTTGTGGTTAATAACATTTTAGAGTAGACGAAGAATTTTAAATAGGATTCTATGTTCCATGTGAAAAAGATATGCAATTAGACAATCAATTAACTAAGTTTAAAAATGTATGTGGAAACGTTCATAGGGATTTTACGAACAAAACACGTACAGATCTCCGTAGAAAAGTAATACTTTGTCTTTGCTGTTCTTATGTATGTAACTGAAATGAAACTAATTTAGAAAGAGGGAAAAGTACAAATCTGTGGGCAGAAATAAATGTTCTCTGAAATGTACCCTCACAGATAAAAAGTGGTATGTGAATATAGGAAAAGAGCTGAATGGCATGCCTGTGTTCGAAAAAATATGTACTAATGTAAACAAATGGAGCGAACAACTGGTGAGATGACAGATTGCCAGTATTAACTCTTGAATACAGCCCACAAGGGAGAAGAGAGGCAGGCCAAAGAAGAAGTGAACACCAGAACAGGTTGACGTCTAATCCTTGCTGGCAGAAGAAGAATAATTTTTATTTTGGCGTTCCTCACGAACAGACATATTTAGAGATACGGCAGTTACACGGCTTGTCCCTGCTCTGAAGATCTCCGAGGCTTGTCTTATTCTGTGTCTTATTCTGTTGAATACTGCTTAAAGAAACAATTTGGACTATATTTGCTCCTCGAATGTTGCCCTGAATGTTCCCCACGTATTCTCAGCTTATTCCCAGCAGGTTTTTCACATGTTCCCATCCATTCTTCAATGAAGTTTCCTGCACGTTTCCCCACATGTTTCCCCAGATATTTCGCGCGTCATAAAAGGCATGTATCCCAAATGTTCTGCTACTTGTTCCTTCTAAATCATTAATACATGTTCCTTACTTGCACCCTCAACATTTTCCTCTACGTTTTATTCGAGTGGTTTAAGGCTCTATGACATATTGTTTAGGAGCTATTCGCGACGGTGAAATGCAGTGCAGTGCAACGTGTGTTGCGGGTTGCGTGTGTGCAGGCTACACGCAGAGAGTCGCAATAACACCAGTTAATTGAGGCCGATGGTATCTTGGATTACAAAATACTGGGATACCAGGAAGAAAGGAAAATACATACCGGGATTTTCAACTACAATGTATAACGAAGTCAAATTTAATATGTAGGTACTATTAAAATTACGGATACATACGGGTATACATGAGCGCAAACCGGTGACAGCGATGTAGCAGACAGATTGACACATGCTCCGAACGTTCACACGTGACCTTCGACGCAGTATTGCCAACCCATCAAGAACTGGTACTTGATTATTCCCGGTTGTTTGTTTGCTAACTTGCACATCAGGGCGTGTCGGATTGCACTGAATCTCAGAATAGCGAGGCTCCGATGCCGCGACCCAACTGTCAGCCGTAAGTGATAACTTGTGGGATTTTCGTTTTACATGTTTTTGATACCTACAGGAGTTATTCTCTATCCAGAAATGAAACATTTACGAGAATTTGTGTCAATGATTTCTAATGACATAGCCAAATCCTGAATATTTCCTTAGCGTTTATAGTAGATTATATACTATAATATAATTTGAAACATCTAACTAGTTCACAATAGTAGTTGTGTTTGGCCACTGTATTGTATATAATAATTTGTTGCAGCCATGATGGTCTCATTCAAACAATAACACTGACTATTTAAATAATTGTTTTGTAATTGCCAACACTCAAGAACTATCTGTAAAGATCACAATACCGGTCGTTTGTACATTTCCCACTTTGAGTGAATCTATGTTCTGATCTGATTAAGACCGGAACTATAGCAATACTATTTTTTTCAGCCATTTAACCAGGGTACTTTTGTTCGCCACAAACTTGTCTCAATGAGAATATTCCAGCGTTTGAAAAGTTTGAAGTAATGCTTGGATGTTGGAATTCAAGGAGATCATCTTTATATTACTCGGGACGACCGCTCATAGCAAAGGCGCCTCGTCAGTGAAGTGACATCCATCTTCATCTACAGAGTCTCTGCTCGGGAGGTACTAGGACTCGAGTTCGAACAGTTTCAAATTCCTTTCAATAACTACATTCTAGCAGAATTCTAGCAGCCGGCAGCTAAGAACTGCAATTTCCCGTGGTGTCTTTGAAAAATACGATACAGGCGAATGCCAAGGCAGTGCCCTTACAAATGGACACGGACCGCGTGCCAAGTTTCCTTCTTCCTTGTCCTATCCTTTCTACTTACTTACACTCACATGCATTACACTACCACTCATGTCACGAGACCAGTTGGCGGCTTGCAGCATGTCTCGGCTGGGATAGTGCCCTGTTGGGAGATAATCGTATACTAGGACGCGGGAATCCCTTGCAGCCGCAGTGTTGGTCGGTGCCAGCTTTCACCACATAATGGGGGAAGAACATCGCCATCGCAAGTGATGACTACGAGTGTAGATGAATAATGACCATAGAATGGTCAAAAAAATCAATTAATGAAAGCTCATCTATAAATGACAAAATAAATATCGCATATTATATTGAAATAGCTTAAGAATAACTTATATATTAAAACTACTTCTTTTTCCCCTCAACTATTCTCTGACATTTGTATCTTAGAGACCTGTCAATGAGCAAACTGTATCTTGTTCGTCTGTTAAATGAAGCAGTCTTACTTGGTCTTGGGGTTTTTTGATAATAAGTCACGCGCACCCTCATGTTTCCTGCTGCGCATGTCACCGAAAGGCATTATTTTACCCCCTGAACGTATCGCAAGTACACAAGTATCCAATTGTATGGGCGACATATTCTGAGTCAGAAGAAGACGTGCAGTGTGCGTGAAGTTTGTGTCTGGTTTGAGTGTGTGTCAAATACATTACAATTCTGGGAGTTTTATAAAGTAAAATTCGCCACATGAGCTGTTGAATTAAATTGGTTTGATAAAATGCAAATTGTCATTTCACATAGCATTAATCCGATAACTTATGTTACGTTTGTGGTAGATTTACACCTAAACTTCAAAGAAAAAACGAATGAAATTACAAAACTTGTGTATTCTTTATACTTTAGTTGTCGTGTTTGTGATTGTTCTTACCTCATATAAAGCGTGTTCATTCATTTTGTAGTTATTTAACTGAAGTTACAATGTGTAAATGACTGTCGAATTTTGTTTATTTCAAGTAGTAAATA